CCTAGGGATGAGCCTAGGGTGTTTGGGCTTGACAAGTTCAACGGTGACAACTTTGCTGAATGGTCCTTCAAGATGGAGAACATCTTTGACCACTATGACCTGCTGGAGGTGATGGAAGGAACGGAGAAGCGCCCCGAGAACGACCCGGAGAAGAGCCCGTGGGTGCGGAAGAGCGCACAAGGCTATCTCTTACTTGGGCAAGCGTTGGGGAGCAGTCAGATCCGTCACATCAAGCCATTCCAGCGTGAACCAGAGAAAGGACCAAAGGCATGGGCTGCTCTCAAGGGTGTACATGCTCCTGCAACAGCGGCGGTAGCGGTGGTGTTGGAACGGCAAATGGCGGCACTACGAATTGAAGAAGACGAAGCGGTTGAAGAAGGGGTGCAGAAATTCTTCGACTTGTTGACGCGGCTTGAGGGAGCTGATTTGAACTACAGTGAGCTCCAAAAGAAGACCAAGTTGCTGGCCTTACTCCCAGAGTCATGGTCCTCGCTCATCATCAACCTTAATCGCGACTTGCCCCGCCTCTCGCTTGAAGACGTGAAGCGAGCTATCCTTCAAGAGGATTTCCGCCGCCGTGAGTTGGCGAGTGCGGATGGCGCTGGGGCAGCGAGCATCGGCCGTGGATATGGTCGAGGAAGAGGCAGAGGACGAGGGGGAGGAAGGTTTGGTGGCAGCAACTTCGGCGGAGGCCGCATGAGTGGCGGTTACGGCAGCGACGACAAGAGCTACGGACGCGGTCGCGGCCGATTCGACGGCGAGTGTCACTATTGCCACAAGAGCGGACACATGTGGCGTGACTGCTACAAACTCCCTGATGGTTGGACCCCTGCTCAAGGCCAAGAGGGTAGAGGAGCAGGAGGAGGGAGAGGACGAGGCCGTGGAGGCCGTGGCGGTCGCGGTGGCGGAGCTGCAAACATGAAGAGCGGAGACAACGACAAGGACCCGAGCGACGATCGATACCCGGGTCTATTCTACTTCGTGTCGACGCAAGTACCGGCTGGTCCAGAGAAGGATGAAGGCTTTGAGGAGCCAGCAGCTGTGGGGAAGGTGACCCTACACCCCTTGGACTATTGGGTGATTGATAGTGGCGCTACCTATAGCATGACACCTCGCCCGGACTTGCTCACCGAACTCGAGCCGTCACCGGTGAAGCATGTCACATCGGCTTTGGGGCAGCGAGCAGAGGTGAAAGGCATGGGCAAGGCCATGTTCAAGGGTGCTGATGGGAAGATGGTGGGCCTCAAGAACGTGCTTTGGGTGCCCAGCCTTGCTGCAAACCTGATTTCCGTGCGGCGGTTGGCAAAGGCCGGCATGGACACGAACTCGAAGGGAGCCAAGACCTACACCGCAAGGCTTGGCGATCGAATTCTTTGGGACCTTCATGAGGACAGTGATGTCTACAACGAGATGTGGCAGATCCCAGTGGTCCCTATGCCTAAGGAGAGGCAAGTGGCAGCAAGCATCAGCACCAAGGATGGAGCGGTCGGTAGCGACGATGGCGCGAACGGTCGCGCTAAGGAGAATGAGCTCAAGAAGAGCAAACCTGGAGGGACCAGCAAGTTCAGTGAACCTAAGGAGAGTGGTGCAGCAACCAAGGAGCAGCAAAAGGGTGAGGAGAACCCAGAGGCAGCAGCGGAGGAGGACTACGGAGAGAGTATGTGGGGCGCTATTGCGAGCGCGGCATTCTCCAATCCAACTTCGGCTACGGGGGAGTGTGATTGGCTCACCTTGCATCGGCGCATGGGGCATGTGGCCCTGCCCATCTTGCAGCAGCTAGTGAAGAATGAGATGGTTGCTGGCATACGTGTGAAGGGGGAGCCCGATGAGGTGCTTGGCTGCCCGACGTGCATTCAAGCCAAGTTCACCCGGTTTCCGTTCCCTAGTTCGGAGGCAACGGCAAAGGCACCGCTTGATGAGGTGGTGATGGACGTGGTGGGCCCCCTGAAGCTTGGAGCTTCTGGAGCTGAGTATTTTCTCACCATTGTCGACGTCTACACCCGCATGACTTGGGTGTACGTGCTGGCCAAGAAGAGCGACGTGGCTGAAACGTTGAAGACGGATTGGTTCCCGATGGTGGAGCGGCAACAAGACCGTCTAGTCAAGTCAATCCGCACCGATCGAGGGGGAGAGTTCCTGAGCAAGGAGTTTGGGTTGTGGCTGAAGAAGAATGGTATTCGACACTCCCTCACCATGCCATACTCCCCTGCAATGAACGGCATCGCCGAGCGAGCGAACCGCACAATCACGGAGGCGGCACGCGGGTTGCTCATTGAAGCCGGGCTACCCGACTATTTCTGGCCTGATGCGGTGCGGAGCGCGTGTGTGGCCAAGAACAGAGCCTTGACTCATGTGGGAGCAGACAAATGGGTGCCCTATGTGGAGTGGCTAGGAAGGAAGCCAAAGGTGGATATGCTTCGGGTGTTCGGGTGCATGTGCATGGCGCTCGTGCCTAAGCATCTTCGGCACAACAAGCTTGGTGCCAAGGCGGTGTGGGCCGTGCACTTGGGCATGGCTCAAAACAGCAAGGGATGGCTTCTTTGGGACCCATTCACCAAGAAGTTCTTGGTGAGCAGGGACTGCAAGTTCATGGAGAACTTCATGTACAAGGATTGGAAGGCGGAGAATGAGGCGAAGATAGGCGTGCGGTTTGGGGAGGTGAAGAGTTCCGGTTTGGAGCATGTGGAGCTGCCTTTGGAGCTGAGCAGCGGCAGCACAACCACAAGGCAATCCTCCCTTGTGAATGGGGGAGAGGAGGCCAATGATGCAAAGGAAGAAGAGGAGGAGGTGCAGCAAGTGAGCGAGCGTGCACCGTCACTCCCTTCCCGTACTACGAGTGCTCCACGGATTCGAGCCACACCGCAGCAACGCCAAGGCCTTCAAGTCCCTGCAGCTGAGGAGGAAGGAAGGGGGAAGAGGAGAGTTCAACCCCCTAATAGGCTGACCTATGATGCGCCGGGAAAGCAGGGCAAGACAGCCCTGGCCGGAGCGGCAATGATGGTCGGAGACGACGAGGAGAGTGACTACGAGGAGTGTGCCTTCGCGTTCTTCTCTCCGGTGGAGATGCCGGGAGAACCAGCAACTCTCAAGGAGGCTTTGGAGAGTAGTGATGCTGAGGAGTGGAAGAAGGCCATGGAGAGTGAGCTGAAGAGCATCGAGGAGAATGACACGTTTGAATTGGTGGAGCTACCGGAGGGGCGTACGGCGATAACGTCCAAGTGGCTCTTCAAAATCAAGTCGGATGCCGACAGCAAGATCGAGCACTACAAGTCTAGGCTTGTAGCCAAGGGGTACCAGCAGAAGGAGAAGGTGGACTTCAAGGAGCTGTTTGCCCCTGTGGTGAAGCCGGCGACGCTGCGAACCCTATTCGCGGGAGCCGCCATCAAAGGATGGGTAGTAAAGCAAATGGACATCGTAACGGCATTCCTTAACGGCATCCTTGAGGAGGAGATTTTTATGGCGCAGCCAGAGGGGTTTGATGATGGTAGTGGCAGAGTGTGGAAGCTGAAGAAGGCCCTCTATGGGCTGAAGCAGGCCCTTAGGCAATGGTACATGAAGCTGCGCGAAGTGTTGGAGGGGATCGGCTTCACTCCCTCAACGGCCGATCACTCCTTGTTCATGCTTGGCGAGGGGGAGCAGAGGAGTTTCATGGTGGTTTATGTGGATGACATCCTCATTTTCTCACCCTCTTCTGACCTTGTGAAGGAGGTGATGCTGAAGCTTCAAGACAAGTTCAAGTGCAAGGCCCTTGGTGACGTGAGCTTCTACCTTGGGCTCCACATCGAACGAGATGTGGAGAAGCGGTGCATGCGGGTGCATCAACGAAAGTACCTGGAGGCATTGGCTGCCAACTTTGGGCAGAGTGAAGGCCATGTGGCTACACCCTTTCCCTCTGGGTTCAAGTGTGTGAAGGGACCAGAGGAGGAGAGCGTTGGTGAAGAGGAGAGGCGCCGATTTCACTCTTTGGTGGGCAGCCTCATGTATGCGGCGGTAAACACCCGACCGGACGTCGCGTTTGCTACCGGGCAGCTGGCTAGGGTTGTGCAATGCCCTAATGAGGAGCAGGTAGCAGCTGGAATGAGGGTGGCCAAGTATCTTGGCCAAACACCGACCGTTGGGCTGCAATACTCGGCGGCGGCATAAAGGCGCCAAAAGGGCGCGGATGGTGTTGAACCCGGGCGTTTGTTCCTCACCGCCTACTCGGATGCTTCATATGCATCAGAACCAGAGGACATGAGAAGTGTGGGAGGCTTCATATGCTGTGTTGGTGGAGGCCCAACTGCTTGGGAGAGCAAGAAGCAGGTTGACCAAGCTTTGAGCTCGGTGGAGTCCGAGTACATGGCACTCTTCCGTGCCGTACGGGAGATTGTGTGGCAGCGGCGTTTGTTGGCTGAATTGGGGGAGGAGCAGCAAGGACCTACCCCACTGTACTGTGACAGCCAGGGTGCCATTGCTCTTGCTAAGAACCCTATGTTGCATGGACTCACGAAGCACATGAGGGTGAAGTGGCATTGGACGAGGAGCATGGTAACCGCGGGTGAAGTTGAGTTGCGCTACGTGAAGACCACGGGGCAGCCGGCTGACATGATGACCAAGAGGCTGGTGGAGCAGCAGCATTGGAAGTGTTGCAAGCTGGCTGGGATGGCTCTGAACTGAGAGAGCAACATATCCTAAGGCCAACAATCCGAGGGGGAGTTTGTTGGTGCAACCCTACGGTTTGCACTCGGCTTGTTGTCCGTGTGCGTGAATGTGTGTGTGTATGGAATGGTATGAGGGCATGGGATAATATATATTTCATGCTTATAAATGTGTGTGAATGTTGAGTCATGATGTCGAGTGTGTGTGTCGAGTCAACAGCGAGTTATCGCTAGACGCGTGTTACGCGGTCGTTTGTGTCTCGCGCGCGGTTTCTATTTTGTCGTGCGCGGTTTCTATTTTGTCCTGTGTCGAACGTTCGGCGTGTCGCAGGTGTGTGCAGCAGACCCATCAAGAACTCAAGGATGAGTTTGTGATGAAGAGCCCGAGCCTTGGTGTCAAGCCTCAAGTGATTTCGAAGCTTGCCAAAAGGGTACACCTCAAGATATTGAAGATAGTTACATTACTTTGTGTAGTGTAACATTTCACTTGGTGTAGGCCCTAGTGAAGGGTAGTTTCGAGACCCTTCGTGGTTGGGGACAGTGTGGCACTGTTCCATATCACTTGACCTCGGCTCTTGGGGTTTGTAGGAGCTGGTCATTCCCAACTCGTAACTCTTCCTATCTTGTGTTCTAAGACTATAGTGGCTGCCATAGTACCGTTCGTTCAAACCGACGCTATGTCGTCAATTCTTCATCAAATCGTGCAATCTAAATTGCTAATTGTAGACGACGTGAAGACGCTCCAGATCCAATTTGAATCAAGTCATTTGCAGCTGTGAGCAGAACGCTATCAGCGTTTGAAGCCGCTGTGCAGAAATCCGCCTGTGCTCTCTATCTTTCGTTTTAGGCACATTCAAGCCTATTGTGACTATAACACGCCCTTCTCTCTCTCATCCTCTCTACCTCTCATCCTCTCTCCCTCTCATCCGCCCTTCCTCTCGTCCTCCCTTCCTCTCGTCCTCCCTCCCCTTCTTCCGACCTCCCCCTCATCCGCCCTTCCTCTCATCCGCCCATCCTCTCATCCTCCCTTCATCTCATCCTCCTTTCCTCTCATCCTCCCTTCCTCTCATCCGCCCTTCTCTCTCTCATCCTCCCGCCCTTTCATCCGCCCTTCCTCTCGTCCTCCCTTCCTCTCGTCCTCCCTCCCCTTCTTCCGACCTCCCCCTCATCCGCCCTTCCTCTCATCCGCCCATCCTCTCATCCTCCCTTCATCTCATCCTCCTTTCCTCTCATCCTCCCTTCCTCTCATCCGCCCTTCTCTCTCTCATCCTCTCTACCTCTCATCCTCTCTCCCTCTCATCCGCCCTTCCTCTCGTCCTCCCTCCCCTTCTTCCGCCCGCCCCCTCATCCGCCCTTCCTCTCATCCAACCTTCCTCTCATCCGCCCTTCCTCTCATCCTCCTTTCCTCTCATCCGCCCTTCCTCTCATCCTCCCGCCCTCTCATCCTCCTTACTTCCCTTCCTTTCGCCCATGGCCCCATCCCTCCACCTGCTTTTCTCGCTGCGTTCACCTTAGGTCTCCCACTGCACTCCAGTCATGACAACATGCACCCCACTCTCCCTTCCACCCTACCTCCGTGCCTCCCTACCTACCTACCATCCCATTCCATTTCCATTCATCCCCCCTGCCTCCTTCCCATCCAGGCTTCGATGGCGAACCATCCAGTGTCGAGTGTGTGTAGCGCATTCAACCAGCGTCATTATACTGTCCACTGGAAACTCAGATCCCCAATTTGCTACCTGCGTGTGGGGCTAAGCGTGCTTATGCCTGACAATAAAGTGGCTACGCATAACGATATATTATCTGTCTACATGCAAGCTGCGTCACATGTCACAGAGAGGCTAATGAGGGCAGCAAGACACGCAGGTAACCATGGGGAATATGGGTATTTGTCACTTGATACAGTGCTGTAATGTGTACTCCACGTCGTGTACAGTGTGTACTGTGCTCACACGTTGATGTGCTTGCATGGTTTTGCCACAGGTGCGGGTCCTGGGGGAGAGAGCGCTGGCCAAGTTATGAATTTGCATCTTGAGTCCGACTCGAAGGCCTTCTGGCAGCGCATGGGGAGAGGGACCACAACGGTGGAGGATCTGTTAGCGAGGCCAGATAGATCCCTGATAGGTGTAGAGTTTAAGTTTCCAAAATGGGAGAGAGGAAAAAATGGCGAGCCTAGAAGAGTAGAAGGAAACGGATGGGGCGGGGAACGCAACCAAGCTGCAGCAACCGTCCTGCCGGGTGAAGGTAAGAACCTAGTTAGATGCTAGTGCGAAACATGCGTGCTGCGTTTAAACACCGGATCCCCAGGCGAATGAATATCGTTCCACCAAAAAACTTCCCTCCCCCTCCCAGCCCTGTGGGCCTGATGCTTGTTTCCCCCGCGGCACTGCCAAGACTAAAACGATCCCGTCCCCCCTGCCACCTGCACTTCTATTCTGCCTATTATCTCTCACCAACCCTAAATCATATTTCTGTCCCTATTCGCTGAATTCTCTTCCCCGTCGCACTGCCCGGAATTCTGTCGCCCCCCGCTCTGCCCTGGATTCTTGTCCTTTCCACCCTCCCCCGACCTGCCTTGAATCCCTTCCCACTCGACTCTTGAGGGATTCAGTTCCCTCTCAACCATCCTGAATTCTGCACTTCATTCCTAAAGTCTCTTCCCCCCATCTCGAATAATGCTTCCGCCCGCCCTAATTCTTGTGAAGAGCGCTGCATGTCAACAGAAACCCCACAAACAAATGAGGACGGACATGGGCCGTGCTTGCCGGCCGAGAACGTGTATGGGGTTGAGGGGGTGAGTGTCGAAGACAATACACAACCGCGAGGCGCTCATTCGAGCGAACAAGCGGGTGGCCCTTCTGAGGGGCCAAACAGGTACAAGCAATAATTGTGTGTTGAAATAATAACCCATATGTTCTTTTCCACATTTATTGATAAGATGGTCAGTAGCACATGCACACCCTCAGAAAAACCAGTCCAGTTTCTTATCCCGCTTGATTTCTGTGCATGCAGACAGGATGCTGGCAGCGTGACGCGCAAGCGTCGTTGGCCTCGTGGTTGGCCAAACCCCCCAAATTGGGAGGATTTTCCTGCCGACATGGTGTGTTTTCTCGATCCGAGGGTGATGGTATCGTTCTTTTGTGGTCGCGCCTTAGGCACGTGCGTGAGGTCTGCGTGCAGAGGTGCAATGCAACTTGAATCGTGGAAGCGGTCATGGGCATGTCTGGGGTTGATGTGGTTGTGCAATGTTTGCTCAGCCAAGGAAGAAGTATGGTCAAGTAGTCGAGTGAGAGATGACCTACCTCCCAGCAAGCGTGGTCCACGTAGTCCGCCATTGATGGGTAAGATGATTGGAGCATTCGCTCTTGCCGGGATCGGGTATCAGCAGATGTGGGAGGTATGTCGCACCCTCGGCGTGCCTAGGCCAGGGCATGAAACATATTACATCGGTGTTAATGATAGGGAGAATGCAGAGATGGATAGGGGGAGAGGGTGAGGGGCGGAGATAATGCATCGGTGGATAGGGGGAGAGGGTGAAGGGTGGAGCAGCAGGAGCGGGTGGAGGACTTTGACGTGGGGGGCATAGAGGCATACAACATGCACAGGGGTGACTGTTGAAGGACGGAGGGTTCTCCTTCGGAATCCCACCTATTCGCTGCAAGTTCTTGGTGAGGAGGGGGAAGGAAGGTTCCATTGCACGCCCCGTGTGTCCTGGCCATAGCAGTTTTATCTCCCTGCCTTTCGCTCCCAGTTCCCATTTCTCCGTCAATTTTTAACCGATCCGGGAGAGGGGAGCACACCCATTTCTTCTGTTCCGCCCATCCCTCCTGTCCCATCCTCTCTTGCCTGCCCGTCCTCTCTTCCCCGTCCCATCCTCTCTTCCGTCCCACATTCCCATCTCCCCCTGCATGTCAGCCAACGGAGAGCATGCTGCAGATCTGTGAAGAGAGTGGCCGAGACCTCGCCAGGGAGGTGAGTCATTGCCCTGTCTGCTCTGCATTGCTCATGCTGTCCGTAGTGCACGGAATGCCCGCCGTGGCCGCCCTGTCCGCACCGCACGCACTACACTGAAAGGCACTTCAAAATGTACAGTCAGCGCTGACCCTAGCACTCTGCACCAATTTAAGCATTCTTGTTTCCCGATCACCTTTCTCCACGTCTCTCCACCTCTCTCGGCCCTCCCGCCTCGATCTGTGCTCAGACCCGCAAGGGCAAGGCCAAGCTGCGCAGCACATCAGCCAAGTCACCACCAGCCATTTCCCTTGCTCCCTGCTCACCCCTTCCTCGCCTAACTCCGTCTGTACAGTACTGGCTCCTTCCTTCGATACCACCTCTTCTCCCCCATCTCCTCTCCCTGCCAACATCGTGCCACTCCCCCCCTCCCCCTGCACAAGCACTTGCTTCCAGCCTGTCTTTCCCCTTCTCCTCTCGCAGCCTACCGTATCCCTCTCACGTGTGGGTAATAATGAGCCATAGCCGCACAAGCTGTGGCAGGGTGACGAACAAAGCAGTACACACCGGCAGCTTCTAGGAGACGCATTGTCTTCAATGGTGCATCATGGAATGTCTTTCATGCCTGTGCCATAATAAGCGACAGCGGCGTCGCCACTGTATGCTCTACTCGCTCCCCCATGGCTAGAAGCTGGGAATTGAAACATTCCCTTCCCCATCCAGTAACATACTTGACTGCACACAAAGGGCTACTCCATTGATCTGGTTGTCGCTTTGCTGTGATGGTCATCCATCTACCTATCACACTATTGCGGACTGTGTAAAAAGAGTAACACATGTAAATACAATAAGTTGTTCCCGATAACCCTCCCTCCCGCACTAAAAATCAGTAAATTCCAGACTCCTGAGTCGCCAGGTGGACAATTGACGATTGTCTAGCATCGATTGACCTCATCCCAAAATCAATCTCGTCAGGGATGACCCATTCCAGGTTGAACCAGTCCACATCGCCTTGACTACATTTTCTGTAACCCACGCCCGTTGGCTCGGGGTAAAGCGAGCCGATCACGACGTGAATTAGCCATGGCAAAGTCACCTGTGCATACTGATGATCACCTAACAAGGTAGAGTATTGAATGTAGCAACGAAAACGATGGTTCTTTGCCCCCATAGGTTGACCATCCATATCCTCATCCGTGTTTTTTCCCAAGCACACCCTCAGAATGCTCGCCACACTAATTCTCTGACTCCCGGGGCCCTCCTCGTCCGACAATCCGAGCCAATGTCGCGCCCAAGCGTCAAGAACACGATATTGCTTGGCATATCGCGCCTCAAACTCAGATATGGACCACCGTTCTTTTGCATATTGAACCTGTGGGGGTAGTCCCGTTGGTTGCACAACTCTTCGAGATCGAACTCTGGGAAAGGGATGCGTTGTGCTCGCGGCAACCGAACGAGTATGGGCGGAGAGGGTGCCCGTACTTGCCGTGACCATCGACTCCGGTCCACGTCGCCGACCCCTCTCCTCCTCCTCATCCTCGGAACCCTCCTCCCCAACCCTGAATCCAAGCATCAGCCATCTCCGAGGAGTACGTCGCCATGATGACATGGCTGATGAGGTGTGTGGTTTAGAGTGTGAGAAACGAGAATATCAGGCAGAAAAACAAGAGAGAGAGAGGGGTTAGGGAGTGAAAGGGGAGGGGGCGGGGGGGCTTCGGTTTCGGATTACGCAAGTCACTGAAGTGAGTTGGATGTGAAGGGGAGGGTGGGCAGGTCAGGAACTGCACGACAGGTCCGGCAGCTGGACGAGGGAAGGAGACCGTATAGTTGGTCCTCCGGATCGGAGGACCATGAGAACGAACTCTGATAAGGTTTGGAGCAGCGTAGCAAAGGAAGAAAGGGGTGCCAAACCAAAACCACGAGTGAAGGTAGGGGTGCTGGGAAATAAAGGGGCGTGGACTTACAGCTCAAGGACTGAAGCCGGGTTCACAGGCCGCTGTGAAGCAAAGGAAGAAAGGGGAAGAGAGAGGAATGGGAGGGGACGGGGCAATTGCAGATGGGAAAGAGGAGAAGTGAGAGGAATAGTGGTACTATGTGTGCGCCGGTGACGGGAGAGGAATAGGAGGGGACGGGGCAAGTGCGGATGGGAAAGAGGGGTTTGCAGATTTAATTACAAAGAGGTTCGGAGGATGGCAAGGGAGAGATGGCAGATGGGAAGTAAGGCTAATCAGAAACTCAGGATGCGAGGGTGCTGCGATGGAAGAGAGGAGAGGTGGGATGGAAGGGATTGAGGATGGGCAACCCAGAAAGGGGACGGCATGGGAGCTAGAATGGCACCCACGGCAACTCGGTATAATGCAGGGGGATTTCCATCATGGGAAGGCGGTGAGGGTGCTCGCGTATGAGCTTGTGGGACGCGGGGACCCTAAACCCCTAAACTAATGCGAGAGAAGTAGGAAAGGGAGAGTGATGGTTCAGTGTGGAAAAGGGCAATGGGACGGCTAATAGGGGTGATGGAAAGTAGTGTTAAGGGGCTGTGATTTGGAGGAAAGATAAGACAGGGA